AATAATATAATAATATGTTACTTATATTTTTTATGACAACATATTTTTCTTTTTTAAAAAACCAATTTGTATGCACGATTACAATATTATGTATCTATACTTAAAATCGACCACTTTATAACCGAATATGATACATCTGTACAATTGAACCGCTTAAAAAAAATTACTGTTGGCATTTTTATTACAATACCATGACAGATAAAGTTATTGAAAGCACAGATAGCAGGTTTATAGAAAATAATCAAATATATTTTATGCGCCCCACGTGAACATGATAGTAAAAATAATTTTTGGATTTAGCATGTTTGTCACATACGTAACTATTAATTTTAGTAACATTTTTGGACAATTTTTAATATATTATGATTACCTGAAAATATAAATAAAGATACCTCTTAGAATGATTTACAATTAGAATTTATTATTACATTTTTAATGGACTAGGAATACAATTAAAAATGTATTTCCTGTTTCACATTGGTATAGGTAGATAATTTTATAATTTTGAAGTCAATAGACACCTTCAATAAGATCTTGTAAATATTGATGTCACATAATTTACAACAAATTCTTGAGATGTAAATAAAGTGAGCAAAACTTTGTTGTTTGCTGCTTTAACGTTTTAATGAAGGTTTTGTAAAGTGATGAATATCAACATTTTCATAGGTATAAGTATCTTCTTAAGCTTCCTTTAACTTCGTTTATGCCTTGAACTAGTTATTATTTCAATTATTGCAAGTCTTTTTATTTTCACCTGCTTAAATATTTATTTTGAGTTTAAGTGGCTTGAGAACGCTCATTTTAAATTGTAAAAGTTATTGAAACTCGCTCGTGAATTTTTTCGAATGAATTTAAGTTAGAAACTTTTATACTTATGACTTCCAATAACAAAAAATGTTCAATAATCTAAATTCTGATGAAATTATCGAACAATTGAAAATAAGAAATGTATTAAAATTAAAGTAAATTGCTTAACGGGAAGCTTAGGCCTAGTGGTGGATTGGTGATATTTTATTGGAAGAGTAAATCTAAGCAACCCATAAAAACTTTTTTTTCTGACAAAAAAAAAACGTTCATTGCCGGTGCTTTTGTGCCAACATTTATTTTTTGCAATTTTGGTCTTAAATAATTAAGTAACAAATACAGAACAAAGTTATACGTCGTGAATTAATTTAAAACTTATAATTTTATAGTTATAAAATATTATAGCAATGCAAGGCATAACGTTTAACAAAAATGAATTATTATGATTATTTCAGTTTTTTTCTTCTTTTAATATCTCTCTTTTTAATAGCTATAAGTTTCCTGTGAATAAATTTACTTTTACTTCTCAATTGTCCAATAACTTCATCATAATGTATATTTTTGGATATGTTAATTTCCCTATATATTAAACCTGCATATTTTATGGTCGAACAAGAAATCACTGACGACGGATAATACTGTCAAATATTATGTTTCAGAAACGTAAAACGGTTCTCTATCCCCTCTGACAAAGGTTTGACGTATTTATCAATTCATATTTGTACAACTAAAAAACAGGAAAATCCATGCCCACACAACAAAATACATATAAATAGATTGCGCGATAGTTCAAATGTATGTGTTTAACATTACAGGAAAATAATTAAGGTCGTTTATCTAAATTGAATGCCATTTATTATTTCGTTACGGCCTTACGGGTACTACTTCGGTAAGCCTTATAAATCAGAACTAACGTGATAGTATTTTTCAAAGGGGCACTAGTGAGATTTCAAATCCATATTTAAGTCGGGTGTTTTTTGAGATCTCAACCGTTCATGCACCGAAAGTGACATTGGACATAGGCGTATAATCATTATAATGAATAAATAGATAAGATCTTAGGCTATAAATTATAGATATCAAAATTGAAAATAATATAGATGCATAATAAAAAATATAATCAAATGAATTAATGAATAAAAGTAAATAAATTACTATTGGTAGTTCAGTTCATAAGTTTACATAATGTTTAATACAAATTATTCGCATTAAAATATTTTAGTACTCACCTGATTAGCTACAAAAAAAAAAATATTATGTTATTATTTTATTTATTGCAAAAAACGTATTTAGAGTTTGTACATTTTTTTGAAAACTTTGAGCTACCATTTCGTGGCAACAATGATAAAGAATGACTTCTTGGGTTACTTTTGAGTAACGTGATTTCTTTTAAGAAAATCTTCCGGGAAAGTTTCCATTTACAAACTAATAATATAAAGTATGAACCAATGCAATTTTAGATAGAGGTTCTGACCTCATAGAAAATTTTAACAAACTTCATGTTATTTTGGATGCATAATCTCGTTGTAGAGTTGTTAGGTTTACTTGAATAACAACTTGTTATGCATTTTGAAAGCTACAACTATTTTTTTTCTCGTAAAATGTACTTAAGAAGAAAGTTTAAATACTATTACTTAATAGGATGTTAACAAATACAAAGATTAAAATTTCGGAACATTTCGAAAAATCCTAATCTTTCTAAACCCCTGAAATTACGGAAAATCATGAAAATTTCAATACATTCATAGAACTAAAATGTGAGATAAAATTAAAAAAATGTATGTGAATTTTGATCTCTAAACAAATACACAAATGTAACATGATGGAAACGATTTAACGATTAGTTGACAGATAGCAACAGTTGGCAGCAATCCTATTACATTGTACAAGTGTTTATGCCCTTTAAATATGCCGTCTATTGTCGAATTTTTTTTTTTTTAAACGAGTTTATGCCATCTTAGACGTTAAATTCGGTGTTTCCGGATATTAGAAAATCTTTTGTCGACTAGACAAATTGCTGGCGGCTCACTTAATCAAAACCCGACCGGAGATGGCACTTGGGAAATCTTCACGTGGCCCGTATACTACGCATCGTACGCGCCATTTAGCCGTACGCACGTCTTTGACTTGATTGTGTCACTTTGTACGAAGTTAAGTAAATATCAAAAGCGGCTTTAAGCTGCGTATACGGAAGCATAATGAAGTTTCGAGAATCGCGAAGAGTGCTCGACACTCGACCGTTTTATTCTTTGAGCGGAACAAAAATTTGAAGGAGAAAAAACGTCAAATGCATTAGTGAAATGAGCTCCGTCCATAACCATCTTACAAGCGTGACGATTAATCATTGTTTTTAAATATAAAAATAAAAAATAATAACGGTTTCAACAATTTTAAATAATTATTGTGATTTAACGATGTCCTGTGGTGAGTCGAGAGAATCGATGGGATAATAGGTGAGTCGGTATCGAACCGATTAAACATTATTGTATAGAGTTTAACGGTTCTCGAAAACTCAACAATCATGCCAACAATATTATCGACCACCTTCTAGTTTTATGTTATTTAAACAACAACACAATTAATAAACACACTCGAATACGAATTTCGACACAATATATGAATGATGGTATTATCAATTTTGTCTTAGCTTTATAAATTATATAATTACAATAGGAAATATTATTATAATCATGTTCAATATTGACATTTAATAACTGATAAAACGATATCTACGTTTAATGTTATCAGCGCCATACAGCAATTATAATTCAATATCGAACATTACTATAACGGTACAATGTATCATTTAATACCTATGCTTTATTCGAGCGTACAAATGTATAGGCGTATTTTAGACAAATATAATACGAAACTCCTACAACGGCTGTAATTCTTGTTAAAATATCGATTGATCTGTCCGGGCAAACGAAATTAATGCGGAATAAATTCAAAGTAATTAAAGGAAAATGAAAATCATTTACTATACTTCTCGTTTATATAATTTAACCGAATGTATATCACTGCAGTTTGAATAACCATAGTGTTATACGAGTCTATCGAGTTGTCCCTTGTACTCGAACGAATTATTTTCGGTGTGAATTATTGTCGATCGACCCTCGACAGACTGTGCACAGCCTCATTATGGTTCTTGTTCAAACATTTTGGCTTTCCGGGCTCCAGGCATTTAAATTCAACCCTTATTTTGTTGTGAATTTATACTGCCAGACAACTGCAGTTTACATGGCGAATTTTAGTAGGTATTTCTTCTTGATGTGTCCATTCAGATTCAATATGTATTATTACAAAATACAACCACATAGTTAACCGAAAATAACCATTAACCAATACATGTTATATTATTATAATACTTGACTTTAACTAGCCATTATTTATTTATGTCCGCATATTTGATTCTTTTAAAGGTAAGAAATAATTTTTTCGCAAAGTATTAGAGTTTTTTTTTTTTAATAACTAGAGATCATAACAATACAGCTATTCAGACGATAGAACCGAACCACTATGCTATTCCACTTTTACTATCAACTTTAAATGCCCAAATTATAGTTTATTAACTACTAATTATAAATTTAAATCTTATATAATTTGAAAAAAATATTCTACTTTTGGACGCTGACTTTAAAATAACTACTTAAACTTTACAATAACGAAAATAGGTATACAGAAAAAGTATTTACAAAAACTCTCATACACTTCGTTAATCGTTTTAATGAGTGATAACTTATAAAATAATCATAATGTAAACCATTAACTATAATAGTTGTATAACATTAAACATCTAAATCATTATAAAACCATGTAGTGTTAGGTACCTTCATCAAAATCATATTAATTACAATGTCCAATAGTTAAAAATGCCTCATAACGATTGCCAACGAATATACTATCAGTTCTTATCTGAATATCGCGGACTTCATGACAAAATATAAATAACAATTATGAGATTTGAAGCTGCATGGAATAATTTTTCAAACCAACCGTACGCTCGCGAAATAGTTTTAGAATAGAGACAAAAATAAAAATATTCCGAGAGACAAAAAATTATTATGTTGAACGGACAATTTAGTTTATCTACGTGACATAATAAAATAATATATTACCATAATATTTTATTTTCGTCGTAAATATTGCACATTTTCGCTATAACAACAACACTCGACCGTTTATGACGTTGCAGGACGAACAATTTAACGAGACACGTCTACGCACAGTCGGCACACGAAAATATGTTCAACAACACGACTGCGCGTAATGGCAGCAGTTTGTGGACGAAAAATGCGGTCGGCATGGAACAGGCGGCTGTGATCGAAGAGCTGATCGCCGAGTTCTCGTCGTCGCAAATGAAATTCACCGAAACCAGAAGTATCCTGTTGATCGGACTCTACGTCCCGTTGTTCTTGGTCGCGGCCATAGCCAATTCCGTGGTCATCGTCGTGGTCATCAAGTACCACTACATGAGGAGGTAAGATCGGGATGTTTATTGTTTTTGGATACCTTGTTATACCGCCCGCTATACCTAGTGTTCCGGCCGGTAACCTATCTCGTGGCCTTCTATAACCTAACCATCGACCCATGCGGACCTCAAGGTTTACTATCGGTATAGAATAACCGCGCGTTATGTGTAAGCGATATCTCCGATCTAAGTAAACGTTCAACGTTGTTTTATGGACAAAAATTAGAGTTCAAGTACGATTTTTTCTTCGATACCTTCTAATAAATGTTTTCATTATAATTCATAGAAAATCAATACGCCATCTAGGTATACACAGTAATATAGAACAATACTAAGGTATAATGTGCTTATTTGTATCAACTCGAATCTACCTAGTTGTGAAGCCATAAGATCTCTGTTTTGTGGCAGAGGCACTTGCGGCTACCTTACTGGCATACAACTTGCAAGTATATTATATAGTTTGTAATGGAAACTAAAAAATCAAAAAATGAATTCTTAAACAAAATAGAATGATACATTATTTAAACAGTTTAAATGGATAATTCGCATAGTAGACTTTGTTGTACTTACTACTTAGTATTTTCCTAATGATTTTTATAAATACTTAAATTTTTTTTCACGTGTAGTAGAACTTGTAATTATATAACAGAAAATGTTGTGTAGCCAGTCTGAAAAGAGAGATTTGGTATAAATGCCTTGAAAAGCGAAAATGTAAAATAGATTTAAAAAAAATTACGATTACTCTATATTACGACACTTCTAAAATAATCCGCTATTCTAGGATCATAGTATACGTAAGTCTCCCAATCTCGTTGAAAAATTGGACACAATAAAAATAGTCAGTTTTTTTACATTTTTCTCACACCTTTATGAATGGTATGATACAATAATAAAATAAGATATGGTATAGCAGTATAGTAGTTATATAATATGTTTAATGTTTAAATACTCTACATGGTTGTTATATTTTTTACGTAGTAATCAACAACTAAAATTAATGTGAATTAATCTTCAAAAATAATAATAATAATAATATGGTTAAAAGAACACAATTATAATCAACATATCAAGTAAATATTGTTCAGAAATAATAAATAAATATAGATATGTATATTTTATCTTTTAAAAATGGCGTAGCTAAATTAAAATAAAATCACATTCAATGTTTGGTTAACGAAAACAATGCAAAAGTATTCGGTATACGGTTATATATTTTTAAATATATACTTTTAAATTTTTTTGTATATTTTAAAACTCCTAAAAAAGTGATTTTTTAAAAATAAATGTGCTCTTTCACGTCAATAATTCACGAGAGAAAATTTATAGAAATTAAAAGTTAAAAGTCAAATAACAAAAATTAAACACCTTGAACACTCTCGATTAAATGATGAAATGAGTACCCATATTCTGAAGTGAAAAAGGATTAACCGTGGGGATAAATAAATGTAATTTAGTGGAAACCTCGTGTTCGACACGAGTTGAAGTTCGAGAAAGGCGTTGCATCGTGTTCGCATGTGTGTGAGGGAATTTTTAAATATGTATATTTTAGCAGCAGTAATAGCACTTCAATCGCGTACCTAAGGGTAATAAATTTGAAAGTCGTTATTAATGTTTGAAACTTGAAACCCACAAGTTCTGCACACGTGAGTTACTGCCTATTAATAAAGCACTGCATGATTAATGCTATACAAATGTATGTATAATGTATACCTAATGTATTATATAATTTCCTGTTATTATTCTTTACGAACAATTAACTCCATCGCCGTAACAGTATGCGCATTCACGTAAAAAGTCGACGAATGTCAAAAGACGAATTTAGTAACACTACACGCGGCACATTAATAAAAATGGCACAGCACGTGGGTAATTATAACCATTACATATTATTCAAGTACTCAAATATTATATAATACGATATTGCAGCTAGACTAGAAAGTCTGAAAGCCTTAAATTTCTAATGGGAATGGATCACACGAGTGCGATAACACGCGACGGTTACAAATAACGATATAATATATTATAACGAGCGATATGACAGTAACTGTTGTAGTAGGTACACACATGACATTAAAATTAAATATTTGTACGTTATTATTACGCGTTGGCCCAGACCAAATTAAATGCAGCAATTATCTGGCTCGGGAAATCAAAACTAAAAACTAATGTTGAATTATAAAACATAAATAAATTACACGGGTCAACAACGGTTTTATCGCTATATTATATTATTGATTTAAATAAAGAAGTTTAAGTATTAAATAACTCGGAATGCTAATCACCTCGTAATTGTTTTATAAGACACTAGTTATTAATTTAGCAGCGACGTAAAAATTCGCAACTCAGTTTCGCGTAGGTGTAATGCAACAAAAGTTTTTCCTCAGTAGTTGGGTAAACTTAGAATTTATTACTCGAAAACTGAAGTCAGCCGATTCTTGTGAGTTTTCACGATTCGCGAAACAAAAATAGTGGAATTTCAAACGTGTTAAGATAATATGATGTAAATCACAATAATTAAATGCATTAACATAATATTCAATACGAAACAACTGTATTTGGAGAAGAAACTTAAGCGTTTTTGCATGCGTACATAATTATTATGAAGCTTGAATAATCATAAAACACGAGATCAAATAAATCCATGCAAATTTTAAGAATAAATTATTGTGGATAGTTCGGTCAATACCGATATGTAAATCGATATATCAGTAAAATTAATTCAAATATCAGTAGGTAATTATGTTTTCCTTAGATAAATCATCGTTAAGAGTTGATAAATTAAATACGAGTAAGTTGCTACGGATGTAACACGATTGCGCCCAGCTTACCTTTTTCCATTCAAAAAACGCAATACGATTGCGCTCGACCAATTAGCAATATTGCGCCCGTCTATAACCTTTTTTACCTGCATAAAACGCAACACGATTGCGCTCTTAATAATTTTCCTTCCCAATTTTACAGGCTTAGGACTGACAACAAAATTAAATTGTTGGCTTGGTTAAAAATTTTGAGTTACAATTTTTTTTTTTTAATAATAATACCCTAATAGTAACTCTAGCATAGATATTTCTTTTTAATTAAAAATGTCCAATTAAATATTTTTTTAATTATAATAATAATAAGAATAAAAATAATACAAATGTATAAATTACAATTTTGTGGCACAAAATTTTGGTCCCATTACTTTCAAATATTCTAGCAGAGATATTTCATTTTTTTCTAATTTTGTCCATGTTTCCGTTATAAATGTCAATTTATCAATTTGTTCTTTTCGTGGTTTGTTTTTATTATTCGTTTTAATACTACTAATTTTTAAGTATGTTTCACTTTGAATGTCTAATAATATATTAATAACTTCATGAATTGAAGGATGTGATGTGTAAAACTGCGAATTATAATGTCGGTGGAATGATTCTGGTCCATTGGTTGTTCGAGCTTCTTCTGAAGGTTTACCAGCCCATACAAATGGTGGAAAAACCGCTTCAGGGCATACATAATTGTCAAATATATAATCCGAAAAATAAAAGTTGTCAGTAGGAGCATTTTCGATTAAACAAGAAAAGCCATCACCGACTAAATTTTCGGGTAAAAAACCAAGAGCGAAAAAACATTTTAACCAAAGGCCTATTTCTGACTTTGAATTATATTCTTTTAATAAGTCGCTATTGCTTTGGATTTTTCTGAACCAACTTTGACCTAAGTGGAATCTACAGGCCATAATTTTGCTATTCGGAAAACATTCTTTAATAGCATTGTGTGCGCTTTTTTCGAAATCGAAATGAAAATTACAATTAGCCAATGATATTAATACATTTATGCCTGTCAACTTTAAACATAATTTTATAATAGTGCGCCACATATCTACATAATATTCAGTTGATTTTGACGTCAAAAAACAGTATATTAAAGGAATATAAAAACCGTTTTGTAGCGTATGAATTGTGTACAGTTGATCATAGTATTTTGGCGAATGTAAAAATGTGCCATCAGCAAAAATATGATTTGAACGACTTAATATATCCAGATTAGTTGGGCAAGTCAATACAACTATATTTGAAATTTCTTCCATGTAGCAAAAATATTCATCTAAATTAGTTTTAAGAGTATCGCGCAAGTTAAACAATTGAAATTTTGATTCTTCCAGTGATTTTGGAATTGTTGGTAATTTTTTTTTACGGAAATCGTACATACTTTTTCTCCATAATTTGATATCAGAATGGACGGTTTGTAAATCATTTTCAGTGCTACGTAGTTCTTGTCGAATTATTTTGTTCGGCCTTGTGAATAAGTCGTTTTCACATTTTCTTTTAATTCGTGAATTTATTATTTGTCTACTAACGATATTTTCCGAAATATTTTCATGATTGTGTTCATTAAGCATGCTAAGAACTTTCGTAACATTATTGTCAACGTATATACTCGATTGGCAATTTTTGTTAGTACACCGATACCGAATACTGCCTACGCTTTTAAGTATTTTATATTCCCTATATTTATGACCATTTACTAATATGCATGGTTTACCTTTCTCAGTCTCGAACTTTTTTGATATACATAGATCCATGTTTTACACTATTATTATTTTCACGACGATACACTTTACGGAACAGCTAGTGAGTTAAACACGGTTTAAAATAGTTAACAGTCAACAGCCAACAGTCAATTGCAGCTCAAATGTAAAGTCCGATCACGACACTATCATTGACGCATACTGATATCTGCAGTCCATGGATAATAAGATAAATTAACAATAAAACATTATCTCGATTACTCGGTTGTACATATGGGGAAATCAAATCCAAGGAAAACCAAGTCCGACTGTATTTTTAAATAGTGTACTAGAAAATCGTTATATAACATATACATATACGGGACAAACACATATTATATATATATTAGATCGCAATCGTGTTGCGTTTTATGCAGGTAAAAAAGGTTATAGACTGGCGCGATAGTGCTAATTGGTCGAGCGCAATCGTATTGCGTTTTTTGAATGGAAAAAGGTAAGCTGGGCGCAATCGTGGTTCACCGGTTGCTACAGCCAGATGTTATAACATAAGATTATAATAATTTTAAGAAATACACCAAAACAGATTCGTTTAATTCACGAATATTTATTAAACATGTTAATCGAATGTGTCATTTTTAAAATTAGTTTTTAAGGAAATAATGTCAATGTCAAAATCCCGATCACTTATTTTACAAATGTCATTAAAAATTATTTCAAATGTTTACATATAACATAATACAATCAAAAACGTAGTCCTATGAAAGGTAGTAAAATATTTCACTTGTCTTGACTTCGTTTTACTCCAAACAGATACTATTCATAAAACTATAACTATAAAACTTCGACATTTTTTAATTGTATTTTACAATAATTAATTAAAACAAAAAATGATTAATTTACAACACAAAAATAAACAAACAATTTGTCTTCCGGTAAGATAATTTAAGACAGAATATTTTGTACTTGCAGAGTGAAAAGTAAAGGTGCTGAGGATCGGCTAAATAAGTGACAACCCCTATAAATACTGATATACCTCCAAACACATTTTGCTTTTGGCCAATCCAATAACCAGTAGTACCAACCACCTACAAACTGAACAAAATTTAATAATAATATTATACAAATACTATATTTAAGATATATCTCCAAAAACTATTTCGTGTAGGTAGTAACCCGCAAGAATCTAATTAAAATACTACCACTACAAAGTTGAATTTTACAAACAAATCTACTCTCAAATCAATTCGGACGTATGGTGCATTTACCCGGATCCTGGCAAACTATCAAATACGATCATATAACAGACTTTCCAATTTCAAAACACTCCATATTATTACAAACGTTCTTAGTCGAACTAACCTAACTTTGATCTTCGCTTTAGAGCTTAAACAAACAGTTACAAATGCAATAGGAAATCGAATACATCAGCAGTATATTTCAGTAAAATACGTCTCATAGAAAATCACACGACACCAGAGAATTTCTGTAATCATAGACAAGTTATCATAAACTACTAATACGAAATTACAAAAATTATAACTTGTTAAAATAATTCAAGATTTCTAGATTATTACGGTTCAATCCGTATGAGAATAATTATTATACTTTTATTTTATTATATTTCATCAATATCAACAAGCTTGGAATTATAATATGTGCAACACTGTACAAGAATTATTTGTATATAATTAAATAGTATTAATTATTATAATGATATGACAGAAATGTGTTTAAGAGTGTTGGTAAGACATTTATCAGTTTATCACCCAAATAAAAGAGAAGTAAGAAATGCAACGAAATAGCGTCGAGGACCCTGTTCGTATTGTTGATAGGATTGGTAGTTCAAAAGAGAGATTAATAGTTGTACAAACCACACTTACTTTTGGATTACATAAAATGCATGAGTTCAAAGGATTTCCCGAAACTTTTTACTTTTTACTACAGACATGGACAATAAAATTAATTTATCTTCCACTAGACCGGCAATACTCAAATTCAATGCATTCAATCAAAATATGCGATAAGTCTAACGTTTGATAAATTGTTAACTTTTTTTTTATTATAAGTTGAAAATTTACATGGAAATAGACCACTAACTTTTTAAATTGATAGTGCACTTCATCTTTGATTCAATAAAATAAATCTGTAGATAGGTACCTACTGTTCAATTTCAGCATAACAACTTTTTTTAAGTTTTCTGGTAATTCTTACGTTGGCCTCTCTTTTCATTACACTCATCATAATTCAGGTTTATGATATGAACTTACATTTTATAGAAGAAGTTATCACATTTGGTACCTAGCTATCATATTATTCTAAAAACGAAAGCAGAGCTATGTAGCATCATCCAAAAATAAAATAAATATGTTATGGACAACCTAAATAATTTTGTGTAAATTGACCTTAGACGTCTAAAATAAAATCTGTATAATTAATTATCAATTGTAAATTGGACACATTTTTCCATTTCCGGGTTTTAGAATGTTGAATTTGTAGTTCATACTCGAAAATATAACAAACGAATTTACTCGTTTTTTTACGAATAATAATATTATAACTCCAACATTTCCATCTCTTACAGTTGGAACTGTGTAAATTGTATTATTATTAAATTTAAACCTAGCTGAGAATAGATGCTTTCTTTTTGATTTCTATATAATTATCAAAGCATGAAGATGGTTCTGAAAATACAAAATACATTTTCATTTTTTTCAAGTGTACACAAAACATTGAAAAATCCCACTGAAGTAATTGTGCTTAGTTCTAACCTCTGTTATGCATTAAGTTATATTACATAAATATTAAAAATTTAAACACAAAAATGTATGACTCCGAAGTAAAAGTGTCTAAAGTTAAAAAGGCATATTTGATATACGTAAGTATAATTTATTCTCCGTCATACACCTCATGACGTGTGATATATTTAAGACCCTTCTCCGTGTTTCACTCGTCATAATTTATTGTAACATATTATATTAGCCATCTACGTATGTTTATTCTGAAGGTTTTTTTTAATACTTTTATTTTTTACAAAGTTATTAGTTCTAAATGACTGAACACTTCAACACTGGGTAGTGGGTTATAAAGAAAATCAACACGGCTAAAATTATTTTTGATGTGTTAACACCTTAGCTCTCGGCAAACGAATCTTTTCTCAAAGGCTGGACCTAATCGGCGTATAACCAGTGTAACTGTAACGTTTTAAACATCGGAACTTTTCTTGAAACTTCGGTTATGTTCGTTACTCACACACACTTTACAAATGGACTCGTGTGTCTTCTTGGCAATCAACCAGAAGATACTTTCTGAATCAACGAATCGATGCCATTATAAAATGTTTATACATTACGTTCTAGTCCTTTACACTTCGAGTGGATCTCGTGAACTTGGTGAATACCACGGAAGTATTCCAATTATAGGTACTGGAGAGGACTTCAATAGCAACTTTCTTCAGATGAGGAAGAACCTTGAAAATAAGTACAAATCGTAATGTAACAATAACCAATTCAAAAAGTACAATCGAGTTGAATCGACGCCCTGTTTTTGAGAAATTTGAAAACACTCGAACCGGAAATATACATTTTATACTTTAACTATCATAAACCAATCATTTCATGTACATGCAAATCGCAGTCATAAAATATTTTCTGGTTCCAGACTTGGTACAATTTATTTTTTCATTGAAATCCATACAATACATCCTTCTTCTGATCATTACTCTTGAGAGTACAGTAACTCATTCATATTGATGGACAAACTGTGAGTATTGATTCAGTATTTGCCCCGTATTTTCTCTTGAAATTTATCAAATTCTGGTCGAAACAAAATCGCATGTTGTTTTTTAGTTTTGAACGTATTTGAAATCACATGTTTACACATTGGGAGGCTTCGACTAGACTCCTTCTTTTATATTATTGCTACGTAGGTGACGATACCTTAATTTAGAAAATGTATTCACAGCGAGTGAAATATTATGGAAAGAGGTTTTTACTATATTCGCTATACATATAGAACAGTGAAACATTTTTTACCGATGTGCTCTCTCAAATAATATATGATTCGTTTCTTAGAAAAATTAGTAAAATTAGTAAATGCTTTGAAATAAAATAGGGTAACTGCCAAAAAAACTGTTTTGAATATAAAATTCAGACAATCAACGAGATGAAAAAAAAATAATAAATTTGATATTTCACAAAACTTGATCTTTATAAATTATAGAACTTACTACTTACATTAAATTAAATAAATTTAAAAATATAAAAATACGAAAATAAACATTACAAATTGATACAAAACGTTTAATAAAACGAAAGAATTAGAATGAATAATTAAACTATGCAAAATAAAAAAAAAATAGCATGAAAGACATTAACGTTTTACCTTTAAAAATATTTGCAAAAGGGTTCAACTCAACATACGTCCATCAATAGGTAACCTAAAAATAATAATTTTTAATGCACAAATAAGAAAAACTGAACTATATATAAAAAATATAATCGGATTAAAATTTTTCTGATAAATTTCTACTATTATAACTATTCAACCATGAGAAATTTGGATGATAAACAAATTCAAAATCGTTATTTGTATATTAAAGTATATTTACCATCGTTTGTCATTGTTTTTATACAAATAATAAATCTCTATAAAATTACCTAACGGACTAGTAATATAAACATTTTGACATTTAATACTATCGATTTTGGAGCACTTACTCAACATGAAAAAATGTTAACAAACATACAAGAAAAACGAATTCCATTATAATTATATATTCGAAGGGATGAACTGCATTATTTCATTATTTTTAAAATAATAAATTTTGTTTAATGTTTGATGAATGTTTTCACGTTAAGCATTGTGTTTAGTAATTTAAATAATTCACATACTCCTCACGTATCTCTCGTATTTGTGTCACTGGATAGTCTGAATTAGAAATATTTGTGAAACTAAAATGTAATCATCCGAAACTGACAATATTGTATTTAGTATATTGTGAAGTTTATAGATAATTTAGTTACACTTATAGATGAGTAATTTTCAATTCAAATGACCTTTAAAAAAACTCTCAACATTTCAATAGCTCTTGTCACAACCACTATTCTAGTTTCCAGTCACGTTAGGATTCGCTCGAGTGAACAAAAATGAAAAGACGATATGGGTTCTTAGAAAATTGTTCCTTGTGTAAACTCGAGTAGATTGCAAAAGGACAATAATCGATTTCAGTCAAGACATCACCAAAAATCATTTCTAATAAAATTATATTCAAAACATATAACACAATATTTCAATACAACTATTACAATATGGGTGCATTAATGTATATTTCGATACTTACAAATGACAATTATAATTATCCAACATTGAAGCTTATTGTGTTCATCCGATACAATATTATTCTAACACGTTTTTATCCAACACCCAGAAAATAAAAAAATTTCAATGTTCAGCATTTTACTATTTATTAGATTTAGGTAGCTTGTCTATTGTTCTACGATAATATTACAATATAAATT